AGGCATTCTTTCTGCTCACAGATGATTTTTTCTTTTTTTTTTTTTTTTTTTTTTCTGGCCTATAAATTTTTTTTTCCTTTAAATTTTTATTTTGTCGATATACAATGTGGTTGATTATTATGGCCCATCACCGAAACCTCCCTCCCTCCTCCCTCCCCCCCCTCCCACCCAACAATGTCCTTTCGGTTTGCCTGTTGTAACAACTTCAAAGGATTGTAGTTGTTATATCTCCCCCCCCTCCGGTTATTTTTTGTGTGTGTGAGTGAATTTATTTATTTATTTTTAGCTCCCACCAATAAGTAAGAACATGTGGTATTTCTTTTTCTCTGCCTGACTTGTTTCACTTAATATAATTCTCTCAAGGTCCATCCATGTTGTTGCAAATGGCAGTATTTCATTCGTTTTTATACCTTAGTATTCCATTGTGTAGATATACCACATTTTCCATATCCACTCATCCGATGATTCCAACTCTTGGCTATTGTAAAGAGCACTGCAATGAACATTGGGAAACAGGTATACCTTTAACTTGATGATTTCCATTCCTTTGGGTATATTCCCAGCAGTGGGATAGCTGGGTCATATGGTAGATCTATCTGCAATTGTTTGAGGAACCTCCATACCATTTTCCATAGAGGCTGCACAATTTTGCAGTCCCAACAACAATGTGTGAGAGTTCCTTTTTCTCCGCAACCCCGCCAGCATTTATCGTTCAGTCTTTTGGATTTTAGCCATCCTAACTGGGGTGAGATGGTATCTCAGTGTAGTTTTGATTTGCATTTAACAAGGGAAACTTTTAAAGCAATCTTGACTNCAGATGGCAGTAAGTGTGTGGGTTGATTTCTGGATTCTCTATTCTATTCCATTGATCAGTCAGATTATTTTCTCTTCCCAGCCACCACCCTTTGCTTTATCAATGCAGTGTCCATCAAACATCACCAAGAATACAGCGTAGTGTTGTTAGATTTCTCCTTCCTTTTCCTCCTGAAGCTCCTTCACCGACCCTTGGGGGCATTTGGGACTGTGGCCCCGCAGAGACCACACAGGGTCTGGCTTGGGTCAGGGCACGCAGCTTAGGAATAGCGTCTTCGCCCCAGAGGTGTCCTTGTTTCTCCAGCGCGGCAGCGGGGGAAGCCCCAGCCACCCCCACCTCCTCCAGCTGGCCCTGCCGCAGCCACTTCTGAGCCTTTGCCCGCTAGGGTGTGCCGCAAATGGGGCACTGGGCCCAGAACTTCACTGGGGTCCCTGACAAAGCCAGGTGGGTCCCCCATGGGGACCTCGCCGTCCCGGCACCCTCCCCCACCCCCACTACAACGTATGGGGAACAGGCCACTGCCCCCTCACCCCGGGGACAGTTCTGACCTTGGAGAGCGGCTCGTGATCACCCCAGAACTTCTTTTCCCGTGTCTCGTGCTTCTTGGGCGGCGGTAGGGCTCTGTCCAAGGCCAGGGGATCAAGGGTGGCCAGCATCCGGTCCTGGCGCGCCTCCGGGAGCGACATCTTGAAACCGTCGAAGGCTCTCACTAGGGTCGCCCAGGGCAGCCTGCGGGGCCAATGCGCGCTGGTGGCGATCGTGGTTGAACGCTTCCAGCCCTCGCCGGGGGCTTTCGGGAAGGCCATCACAGAGCCCGGCCTGCCAGTGGCCTCCCAAGGGCCTGGCCAGGAACGGTGGCACCACGAGCCCACGCCCTGCACCCGGCCCTTGGAACCCACGCGCCACCCTGACCCGACGATCTCGCTGCCTCCTCGCCAGCTAGGTGAAAGTTGGAGGTTATTCCGCGGAATGAGGTTATTACTAGAAAAATGGGCTTCGCCTTCTGGGCACAAGAGGAATGAGGCAGACCTGCAAAACCAGCGACCCCATCCTCCTGCCCGTCCTCCCTTTGAGTCTTGCCGGCTCCCTGTCACAGGGCGATTTCTGTGTGTCCTTTGCCTATGTAGGGGCTCTTGGCCAACCCACTTCATTCCAACAGAAGAGAAATGGTCAAGTTATGGAATGGCCTTTGTATGAAACAATATGCAGCTATAAGGGGTGGTTCACACAACTTATAAGAGCATGAGGGAAATGAAATATCTATCACAGTGCCAATGAAAGTAATAGAGAACAAAATGCCACCTCTAGTCAGATAACAGCCCCCTGGCTAGAAAAAGCCTGGATAGAATTATTTCAAAACATTGAGGAATATTATTCCACCCATCTCTGGGTGGTAAAATTAGAAATAATCTTCTTCTTTCTTCTCTCTCCTTTTAAAATTGTTCTGATCTATGATGCTCCCCTTCATAATGTAAAAAATCTGTCCACTTCTTGAAAAAGATCTCATCAGCGCACATGAGATGGCCTCAGAGCAGGGACCTAGGGCTGCAGAGCAAGGACCTGTAGCTGGTGTGACCCAGGCTGTGTGTGCACATTCTCCCATTCAGTCTCACCGCCTGTCTCAGACACTTTAGTGACATCTACCCTGAGAGGCTCAGGCCCTCTGCCAGGACCCTGGCTCTGCGCTGCCCACTGGGTTCCTGGCCACCACCAGCAATCCCCAGAGGGTGGCGCCCCACTCCCAAGGAAACAGCAAGAGGGAAAGCAACCACCACCCTCGCTCACACACACATCCTTCAATGAGTTCAAACTGTCCTTATTTGGACTCAGCTCTCTTCATACCAAAACCAGAGAAAAGCCTTCCCTTTTATTTTCTTTTTTAAAGTTCTAGAAAATAAAAAAATTGAAAAGAATATAGAAAAATTTCACTTTAATTAAACTGTTCAGTCTGAATTTTTTCCTCTAACATTAA